CAGCGGCAGTAGCGGGTAAGAAGGTCCAGGGCCACAACTTGGGGCCCCGGCTGCAGCTGGGGAAGAGCAGCAACAAGGCGGGAGAAGAAGGGGTGGAGCATTGCAAGGACCTCCTCCTGGGTCTCGGGGGCCCCCCCGCGTTCGAGGGGCCCCCCGGGGCCCCCCTGGGGCCCCCCCGGGGGCCCCCCGCCGTGGGGGCCCCCCTGGGGGCCCCCCTGGGGCCCCGGAGAGGCCTGGAGGGACTGGAAGAAGACAAGGCGGAAGGAGACAAGTGCAGCGCCAGCAACGGCGAGCTCGCCGTCCGCCAGCAGCTGCAGCAGCAGCAGCACGAGCTCGTGGCGCTGGTCTGCGTCGAGGAAGAAGAGTTTTGCTGCTGCATGCGCTGCAGTCTTGCGGACAAGGGGGGACGTGTCTGCTGCTGCGCGGCGGAGACTGTGCAGCAGCAGCTGCGCCGCCTCCAGCAGCTGCAGCGAAGACAAGGACTTAAGTGCTGCTGCGCGCAGCACGTGGGAGCTGCTGCAGAGGTCTTTCTGGTAGCCATTGAGGGCCAGCAGCGCCAAGTCTGGGGCTTCCTGTGCATGCAGCACGAGGTAAAGATAAACAAGTCTTTTGAGTTCGAAGTCGGGGGTGGAGAGGTTCTTGAGGACGTCTGCGAAGAAGGGGGAGGGCCCCGTTGCTGCTGCTGCTGCTGCTGCTGCTTCTGCTGCCAGCACCCGCCGCAGCCCCGCCAGCTTCAGCTCCGTGCTGCTGCTCGCCAGCTGCTGCCGGATCTGCGCAGCTTGCTGCTCCCCCTCCACGAAGTAGCTGCTCTCGCTGGAGCTCACCAGCCGCAGCAGCGCCCGCACGCCTTCGGAGGCCTTTTGCACCAGCGGTGCAGCAGCAGCTTGCGTGGCGCTGCGCACCTTCCCCACTTGCTGCTGCATCGCTGCAGCAGCGCGCGCAACGGGGGGCCCCGCCGCTCCGCTGCCTCCGGGGGGCCCCCGGCCCTGCGACCCTCCAGGGGGGCCCCTGCGCATGCACGGCGCGGCCTGCGGCGCTGCGCCGGGCGGCCCGGTGTACAGACACCGCAGGCGCCGCCGCCGGGCTCCGCACCCGCGCAACGCGCCTCTTCCGCGCGGAAAGCAGCGCTTCGAAGCCTCGAAATGCTTCCCGAAAGAACTCTTTTTGCTTTTGCTGCTGCTTCGCACGCGCCACTGGCTCAGACGCGCGCAGCCCGGCCCGTTCCACGCGCGAGCAGCCGCTGCCACCGCCGCTTCCAGCCGGCGCCCAAACGCCCGGAAAGCTCCGGGAAACGCAAGAAACGCCGCGCCTCAAGAACTCCAAAAGGTGAAATACGGAAGGAATTCCGCGAAAAAAGAAGGAACTGCGAAGAAGCGCGGAGAACCGGAGCCAGGTTTCGCGGGAGAGGCGCGCGCAGACAGCTCACGGCCGACGCATTGATTTGTCAGGAGCCACGGCAGCCAACAGCGAGTCTTTCGGATAAAAAGAACAACACAAGAAATTTATTTTCAAGAAACAAAAGCTAAAAAAAACTGCAACACGGAAACCCAGGATCAACCGCCCGCCATCCACAGCCCCCGCCCACGCCGCCGCGCCTTACGCCCACTGCCCCTGGCTGCTGTCCCGCTCCTCCTTTCCTTTTTTGGACTTTACTTCCAAATTCTAAAAACTATTTCCTTTCTTTTTCTCCTTGTCAGTGCGCAACCGACCCAGGGGGCCCCGCAGACTCGCCGCCCCCCCTCCCGCCGCCTATAACCCTTTCTACGGCGAACTTCATTTCCGCGCTGGAGGCCCCACGGCCACAATTTCGCTCCTTCTCTCTTCTGCATTTTGTCTTTATGAAGTTCCTGATGAAAAGCTCGCAAAAAGGTTCAGAAGGACCCCAGCTCCTGCGCTGAAGCCCCTGTGCTGCTGCTGCTGCTGCTGCGGCTGCGGCAGTGCTAAGGCCGCAGCAGCAAAGCAACAGCAGCGCCTGCGGACGGTGCTGCAGCCGCAGGGACCTCGGCTGGCTGGCCAGCAGCAGCTGGCAGCAGCAGCGCTGTGCAGCACAGTAGCCAGGGGCCCCACACCCGAGAGAATGCCCTGCAGCGTGGGCAGCTAGCTGTGGCTTTAAGTAGCTAGCTAGCTAGCTATAGAAGGGGCCCCCCGTCCACCTCTGGCTTCTCGAAGCTATACGGGGGGCCCCCAGCTAGCCGTTGTTCTTGTTCGCTAGCTAGCTATCTATGGGTGAAACACCCAGACAGTTCTGGCTCTCCCTAGCTAGCTAGCACGCTATAGGGTGCTCCTTAGGTAGTTCTGGCCCCCTCTAGCTAGCTAGCTAGCTAGCTAGCTAGAATGGGGCCCCCAGGTTGTCCCGGCTCACCGTAGCTAGCTAGCTAGCTATAAAGGGGCCCCTAGGCAGTTCTGGCTTCCCCCAGCTAGCTAGCTAGCTAGTTGGGGGGATGCCTGTAGGTCGTTCTGTCTCCCTCTGGCTATCTAGCTAGCTAGAAGGGGGCCCCTAGGTAGGCCAGGCTTCTTATGGCTAGCTGGCTAGCTAGCTAGCTAGCTAGCTAGCTAGCTAGCTGGTAGTGGAGCTGCGAAAGTGCAGCGCCGGCTGCTAGAGTGCATTTAGATGCAGCAGGAGCTGTCTATACACCCCAGGGGCCTCGCTACGGGGAAGCAACGAGGAAAGAAACCAATGAACAACCAAAAAGAAGCGAAATAAATAAAAAAACAAACAATAAATAAGCAATAAATGAATAATAAATAAGTAGTAAATGAGTTAAAAGTCTGCGTGTTGTCATTTGGTGCTGCTGGCCCTGCGTTTGGCCGGTGGCGGCAGCGCCTTCGGAGCCGCAGCGCGCTGCTGCCTCTTGCCGCGCTTGCTGCCCTGCTGCTGCTGCTGCTGCTGCTGCTGCTGCTGCTGCTTGCGGGCCAAGTCCGAAGGCCTGCTAACTGCAGCACCAAAAAAGTTTTCTAA